TTGTCCCACCTACTTCCTGCCTGGCCACTGGCCAATCAGTGTTTTATTTATTGACCAATCAGAGCAACAGATTTGACATACAGACCATCCCACAGCACATTATAGATAGCTGTGAGCTACCAGGTAGTTGCTGAGAATTGAACTCAGAACCTGTGGAAGAACAGCCAGTGCTCTTAATCACTGAGCCATCTTTCCAGCTCCTTTACTTCTGTCTTTAAAGACTATATTATTTTAAAACTATTTTTATGACTGTATATGTCCTTTTTCTTTTCTTTTCTTTTCTTTTCTTTTCTTTTCTTTTCTTTCCTTTTCTTTTCTTTTAAGCCTACATACATTGTTAAACACACTATAACCTGTTTAGAGGTTTATTTATTTATTTATTTATTTTTAGTCTGAATCTGCTTTACTTTACTGGATGAGCAAAACTTAAATCACTGTGCAGCTTAGCTCATGGCATGCTGGCAGCTCAACCCATAGCGATGGCCTGGAGACGCATCTCTGTACTGCCGCCCACACGAGAGACTGCAGGACTAGGAAGCTGCGTCTGGCTCCATTTTTGTGTGTCTGGAAGCTTTTTTAAGCGTTCTTAGGTCTTACGTGGAAATATGTGTCCCCACATTAGATGCCATTTGTAGTGAGTCTTTCTCTGTCCCACTTGCCAGCTCCCAAATAACCACATGGAGACTTATTCATTATGAAAACTCAGCTGATAGCTTGTTTCTAACTAGCTCTTATAACTTAACCCATTTCTATTAATTTACTTTCTGTCTTGTGGCTTTATTACCTCATCTCTGTATTGCCCATCCTGCTTGCTCTGCATCTAGCTGGTGACTCTGCCTTCTTCCCAGCATTCTCTCTGCCCTCAAAATCCTGTCTAGCTATTGGCCATTTAGCATTTTATTAAACCAATCACAGTGACATATCTTCACACAGTGTGAAGGAATATTCTACAACAGGAGAACTGGCCCTTATCATAAACATGTATTGAAATGTGGTTGGGTCAGCAGCTATGGTTCATTTTCACAATTCAGTCACAAAACCATTTTCAATCTACTAGACTTTAGCATGCCAAGTCCAGCCAGACCACTGGTAACAGCTCAAGGGTGACAACAAATACAGGAGGTTTCATAAAGATGGCAGCTGGTACCTTAGTTAGGATTTCTACTGCTGTAATAAGACACTGTGACAACAGCAACATGCAGAGGAAAGGGGTTATCTCATCTTACAGCTCCACATCACAGTCCATCACGGCACAGACACGAAGTCAAGCACAGAAGAAACCTGGAGGCAGGAACTGAGGCAGAGGCCACTGCTGTGTGATATTTTATTTGATTCTGACAAATAAAGCTTGCTTGGAGTCTGTGGGGGACCAGCTCCCACATTTATTTACCCCAGGGACTCTTGAGGAATGAGGGATAAGAGACTTAGGTAGAAATAAAGAAGGGAGAGAAACACAGGATAATCTCGGGTAAGCCTGGATCCTTATCCAGTGACACAGAGCTTTATTCCAAAGGGCTATTTATAACAATGCCAAGGGGAGGGGCAAACGACCTCCCCCTTGCTAGTACAGCCAAGTGTAGACCCTTACAAACACCTGATACTCAGGCCCGTGGTCCAGTCAACCTCTTCTGCAGTCCTGCTGGGTACAGCCACTAGGAAACCTAGTGGGCTCCAACAGGAGTCAGAGGGCGGAGCTAGCCTCTAGTTAACCAAAATGGTCTGGAGGTCTGTGCAGAGAGGAGACAGGAAGGGATAAGGCGGGGCAGAGAGAGGATCCTGGCCCTTTTGGTCAGAGGAACCTCAGAGGCAGGAAGTGACTGTGGCTGCTCACTTGCTTCTCTGATCTTTCAGGTTTTACCTCAATACCTGACTCCTGGTTTTTATTGATAAGATTAATTAGATTTATGCATCAGGTCATGGAAGAACACTGCTTACTGGCTTGCTCCTCATGGCTTCTCAGCCTGCTTTCTTATAGCACCCAGAACCACCAGTACAGGCGTGGCACCACCCACAATGAACATTTTCTCAATCGAAGTTCCCTCTTACAAAATGACTCAGTTGGGTCAAACTGACATAAAAATATCACAGTTGGTTAGAGATAGGAGGTAAACCCTAACTCCTGTTCATAAGTATAATGTTGGATATTTTTGATTCTGTGTGTCAGCATGGAGACTGAACTGCCTCAGTGGCTCCGAATTTCCGTAAGGCTTCAACTAAGCTGAACCCTTCGAGTGAGGCCCAAGGACACAGGAAAACTGTCAAGTGAGGGTCCCACCGAACAAACAGCTTTGCTTCAGGGAGAAAAGTCAAAAGGACAGGGAGGAGAAAGATAAACTTAATTAATGCCAACACCACTTACAGAATCAGTTTTGTCTGTGACAACTTTGTACACGTTTATGATACAACCCAGTCACACTCCTCCTCCTCCTCCTTTTGCTGCACTTCCTGCTTCAAGTCCCCATCCCACTTTCATGTCTTAGCTTTTGCTGTGTGACCCATGGGTCTGACCAGTGTCACTTGCAATGGTATGGATGTAGGGCTATCCACTGGAACATGGGTAACTCACCAAGGCTACATCAGGAGACAATGAATTCCTCTCCCCAAGCAACCTGTGATTGCCATTAGATAAGACATCCTTTCATGGCTCTGATCCTCATCATCTGGCTCTTACACCCCTTCTCATTTTGCTTCTTCAGTGTTCCCTGAACACTGAAGGTGTGAGACGGATATCCCACTTAAGGTGGAGCACACAGCAATCACTTGTTCTCAATATCTTGACCAGTCACGATTCTACATTAACTGCTATTCGCTGCAAAAACTTCTTTGGTCAAAACTGAGGACTGTACCAGTTAGAAGGTTTGACAACATATCCATTTAGCAAAATAAAAGTGCTCATGAGTTCTGGGTCTTTGACAACATCCACAGTACTAGGCATGAAGTTCCTCTTATGGCATAGGCCTCAGAGCCCATCAGAAACAAATTGGTTACCTCCTAACAGTTGTGCCACTCTTATTTCAGTGAGCATCCCTTGCCTGGCAACTTGATATTGTAGTTTGCAAGGTCCAAAGCTAAGAAATACCATTCCTGGCTTCCCATACTCCCTCAACTGCCTACACAGCAACTTCTGGCACCATGATGGCCTCCCAGCAATGAGGAAGCTTCCTGCTTGGTTCCAACATGGCTTCTCTATATTCTGTGTCCAAGATGTGTGGTTGTCATCAATAAAAGGGATGTCTTAACATCCAGTTCTGGGGGGAAGCAGGTGCAATGGCCATAACTTGCATAATTTAGGAGGTCTTTCTTTGGGACTTCCTGGCCAATAATTCTTAGAGAGGTATCTCATACCCAGGACTGGGATTTTTGTTTAGTAACCCAGGGCTTCTGGAATGGGAAATGCAACTTTTTAAAACTTATTTGACCGTTTCATACACATATGTAATGTGTTCTGATTATTCTCTCTCCATCCTCTCTCATTTGGCTTCCACCCTAACATCCCTTACCCCCCTCCCCCACGTCCTGCCCCATCACTAGCAAGTCCTTCCCCACACTCTTGACTTCCGCTGTTGGTGACCCACGTAGTTTGACCAGGGCCATCTGTATGACAACTTGCGTGGTCATTGATGTGATGCACATGCAAAAGCCAATGGCCCTTCCTCACCCGGAATCTACTGGTAGCAATACTTCAGCTGGGAAGGGCACGGCCTTCTTGTGCAGCTCTATCTTGTCTTGTCCAGAAGATAACACTTTGCAGTTCTTTGCTATCCTTTCTCTCTTTTTACCCACTCTTCTGCAGTGATCCCTGAGCCTTGGAGAGGATTGCACAAATGTTGTCCAGGGCTGGATTGCATCTGTCACTTACTCTTGGCCCCATGAGGCTTTGCATTCACCACCAGTCACTGGAAAGAGCTTTTCTAATTAAGGTTGACAGTAGTATTTGCCCATGGGCATAAGCATAAATATTTAGAAGACAGCTTAATGCTATGTCAATTTGCCAAGCTATGGTATTCAGTTGCCTCCCAGGGCCTATAATTTCTTCCACCACTGATTTTTGACTAGGTTTACAGTGCTAAGCCGTGGGCTTTCCTCTGGTCTCAGATCTCATCGGAGAGCAGAGAGCTACTGGCTACCTTCCCACCAGCAGTGCACTGTTTCACTTTACACTACTGTTGGAGTGGTGAGTGCACACAGTGCACACCAACAGCGGACAGTAGTCCCTTTACTATTTTTGTTTGGTTTTTGTGTTTCCTGAGACAGGGATTTTCTGTGTAACAGCCCTACATGTTCTGAAACTCGATTTGTAGACCAGGCTGGCCTCGAACTCACAGAGATTCACCTGCCTTTGCCTCCCAAGTGATTAAAGGCATGTGTCACTACTACCTAGCTTAATTAAGCTTTTTCTTTTTTCTTTCTTTCTTTCTTTCTTTCTTTCTTTCTTTCTTTCTTTCTTTCTTTCTTTCTTTCTTTTTTTTTTTTTTGGTTT